GTCTCTACTAAAAATACAAAAAAAATAGCCAGGTGTGGTGGTGGGCACCTATAATCCTAGCTACTCAGGAGGCTGAGATAGGAGAATTGCTTGAACCTGGGAGGTGGAGGTTGTAGTGAGCTGAGATCGCTCCACTGCACTCCAGCCTGTCTCAAAAAGACTTTGTCTCAAAAAAAAAAGAAAGAGATAGGCAAACAGGTATCTCTCCCTTCCGAGAGAGAGGGGTTCCTGAAAAAGAAAATCCAGCCCTCGAATTCCATGAGATTTTAAAGGTAGGCTTGAAAAGATGGTATCTGATTTTCATAAGGCCCACAGATTGGTTCAACCAGGTGTGACATTTACATAGTGCATGGGGGAGGCTGGTCATCCCACCCTAATCTTATGCAAATGGGGTATTTTCCTGGCTGGCACCATACTGTCTTCTCCTTACTGGTCCACATGATTTGGCAAAGAGAAAGGAAGATGGAGCCTCCATGTTGGACGTGACCCATGTTGGTCTACACCCAGGTAGCCTTTTCCTATTGGCACAGCTGCTGGCATTCACGATCTCATTTCTTTCAGCCACGATATTTAGTAAATATTTTTAGTACCGCACTTAGCAGACAGCTTTCCGAGTGTGCTTTCTTGCCACAAAAGCTTGCTGGCAAGAGCCCCTTATTTTTAAGATATCAGGAAGCCAGATCCCTTTGAGTTGGGAGAATTTTGTGGCTCAACATATCAAGTCCTTGGTGGTATCTGAGCTGCCCACGCCTCCCCCCCACAGGGCCCCACAGAACCCAAAACAGGGGGGCTGCCCCAGCCCAGCAGAGCATAGGGAGTTTCTGGAACTCCCACCCGCAGACAGAGGAGAGGTTACTAAGGGCATCCCCCATGTGGATTTGAGGACAGCAGCCCCTGGCCTCACCCTGCCCAGCCTGGGTGGCTCCCTAGCCCCAAGAGGCCAGGAAGGGCTGGAGGCAGGGCCTGCAGGTGCTCCCCACCCCGAGACCCAGGCCCCAAATCAGCAATAATGAACAAACCCTCAGCTCAGCCTGGGCTGGTGACCCGGGCACCAGAGACCCTGCATCCCACCTCCGTCCTAGGAGGCCCCTGGGGATGCCCCATCTGTGCCCCCTGAACTCTTTATTTGCCTAATTTATATATATATATATATATATATATATATATATATATATATATATGAGCTGTTTTGCTTAAATTTCTACAGTATGTAAAAGTGAAAAATGATGAAGATGGGCACGCCTGTCTGAGTTTGGCCCTCATGTCAGCTGTGCCCTTCCCGCTCCTCAAGCCCCCTTCCAGTGGCTTCTGCCAGCCATGGGGGGCTGAACCACCATGGCGCTGACCCAGCTCTTCAGAACCCCACACTCCAGTCCTTTCCATTCAGTTTAGTCCTAAAAGTTCATCACAGGGTTTTTCTTTCTACTCCAGGACTGGTTTTGTTTTTATATTTTAAAAAAAAGTGAAAAAAAAAAAACCTTGATTACTAAATTTAAGTAAACTCTAAAGCTTGTCCTAAGACTTAACTTTGTTTTTAAATTGAACAACCTATACTAGTAAAATAATAATGATAATAATACTGGGCATGTACCATTCCCAATGTATGCACATCTTTAAATTTAGAAATTATATATATGACTACTGTATTAATATTATGTTGAAAACACATACAAGAATAGAACTTTAAAAAGATGATATGAAAACATTTATACAAAGGAAATTCTGATCTTTGCTCCTTGTATAACATGGATCGTGATTTATACTAGGGGTCAGCAAACAGTTTCTTTGAAGGGCCAGAGAGTGAACATTTTAGGTTTTTCAGCCTGTATGGTATCTGTTGAAACTACTCCACTGTTTAAGACAAAAGCCGCTGTAGACAGTATGTTAAATGAATGAGTGTGGCTGTGTTCAATAAAGTCTTATTTACAAAAAAAAAAAAAGCTTCCATCTTGCTTGTCTCTGTCTGCAGCTTAAGTTTATTGGCTGCTCTTTTGGGGACTGCTTTTCATTAAAAGGAAAATCTTACCGAGGACTTCTTCGCCCTCACTATCTGCCTACGTAATTTCTTCTTAACTCCCATATGAGTATGTGCACCTGTAGCCTCAGCTACACAGGAGGCTGAGGTAGGAGGATCATTTGAGCCTTGGAGTTTAAGTCTGCAGTGAGCTATGATTGAATCACTGCACTCCAGTCTAGGTGACAGAACAAGACACTGACTCTAAAAAAAATAAATGGGAGAAAAAAAGACACACTAGATTAAAATTGTCAGCAATATATGCTCCATCCCACAGGAAATTGCACAGGGCTTCTCTAGTCAAGAAAGTTCACCTTTTCTCCAGGCAGCAGAGATGAATTCTATCCACTGATCAAGATGCTGCCCACGGAATAGAGATTGTTCCCCTCACAATCACGGCAGCCGTGTTCAAGCTTAAAGGGGTCCACTGACTTTTAGGCATCCTGGAGCTTAAATTTTTTTTTTTTTTTTAGAGACAGGGGTCTCATTCTGATGCCCAGGCTGGATTGTGGTGATGTGATCACAGCTCACTGCAACCAGGGTAGTTTTTAAATTTTTTGTTTTTGAGAGACAAGGTCTCACTATTTGGTTTTTTGTTGTTGTTTTTTGAGACAGAGTCTTGCTTTGTCTCCCATTGTCTCCCAGGCTGGAGTGCAGTGGCACAGTCTCAGCTCACCGCAACACTCCAGCTCCCAGGTTCAAGCAGTTTTTCTGTCTCAGCCTCCAAGTAGCTGGGATTACATGTGCGCACCACCACGCCCAGCTAATTTTTTGTATTTTTAGAAGAGATGTGGTTTCGCCATGTTGCCCAGACTGGTCTTGAACTCCTGACCTCAGGTGATCCAGCCTCCTTGGCCTCCCAAGGAGCTGAGATTATAGGCGTGACCACCACACCCAGCCAGATGTGTCGCTATTTTGCCCACTCTGGTCTCAGACTCGTGGCCTCAAGCATCCTCCCACTTGTCCTCTGGAAATACTGGAGTTACAGGTGTGAGTGCTCTGTCTGGCCTGCACAGTAGGTTTAAATCTCATCAAGTGACAGAAAGTTGAGTCTTGTCTTCAGCCTCCAGAGGGCTGCACAATGGGAAGACATTCTTGAGATTCAGATTGGTCTTGGCTCCCTGTCAGAACTTTTATTTTATTTATTTGTTTATTTACCTATTTTTGAGATGGAGTCTTGCTCCATCATCCAGGCTGGAGTGCAGTGGTACCATCTCATCTCACTACAACCTCTGCCTCCTGGGCTCAAGCAGTTCTCCTGCCTCAGCCTCTCAAGTACCTGAGATTATAGGCTCATGCTACCATGCCCAGCTAATTTTTGTATTTTTAGTAGAGATGGAGTTTTACCATGTTGACCAGGCTGGTCTTGAACTCCTGACCTCAAGTGATCTGCCCTCCTCAGCCTTCCAAAGTGCTGGGATTACAGATGTGAGCCACCGTACCAAGCTACCCAGAACTTTTAAACTCTCCCAAAGGGCTTAGGACCAAGTCTTTCCTCCCAACCAGGGTCCTCCTTCTTTTTTCTTTTCCTCATTCTCTCCTGCTTCATCAACTCCTCTTCTCTGTCTTGGTCCTTTGCCACTCCCAGTGCCATCAGGCCCAGATGGGATCCCATGCGGTCAAAAGGGGGTTGTCCTGTGATGCTGGTCTCAAACTCTGAGCAGCTACCCCAGGTATTCCAGTCCCATGGGGGGAAGCTGCTGGAAGATACTGCTGACATGAATAGGTCACCTAGGCTATAGGACCTTGTAACCAAGGGTCAGAGCTCAGAGCACACATGCTGGTGTCAGACAATCTCCCAGGGGTCCTGAGCCAGCAGGCCCCATGCCACATAAACAAGCAAACTGGAATATCTTGTCCTGCCGCAGTGTGGCCCTAAAAATGAGGGGGTGTCAGATGCGGTAGCTCATGCCTGTAACTTCGGCATTTTGGGAGGCCAAGATAGATGGATCACTTGAGGTCAGGAGTTCTAGACCAGCCTGGCCAACATGGTGAAAACCTGTCCCTACTAAAAATACAAAAATCAGCTGGGTGTTTTGGCTCATCCCTGTAATCGCAGATGTTCGGGAGGCTGAGGCAGGAGAATTGCTTGAACCCAGGAGGTGGAGGTTGCAGTGAGCTGAGATTGTGCCACTGCACTCCAGCCTTGGTGACAGAACGAGACCGTCTCATAAAAAAAGAGGGGGTACTCATCTCTCTCAAGTTCCAAGATGCTTGCTGATGTCTTTACCTTAAAGGTGCAGCCTTGTAAGTACAAATGAGCCCAGAGTGCAGTGAGCATAAGCTCTGACTTGCTGACTCTGTCCTGTGGGACTGGAGGCTGTAGGCTCCACACCCCGAGGATCTGTCCCGAAGCCCTGTCTCCAGCTCTCCCTTAACCAACCTTACACAGGGGGTCTGAAGATATCTAGCTGTTTCTGCCATCACCCTCAGGCTCTGATGGTTAAGATTCACCACCCCCTCATGACCAAACAGCACAATTTTGGCTCACTGCAACTTCCACTTCCTTGGTTCAAGCGATTCTCTTGTCTCATCCTCCCAAGTAGCTGGAACTACAGGTGCCAACTACCATGCCTGGCTAATTTTTTTTTTTGTAGAGTTGGAGTTTTACTATGCTGGCCAGGCTGGTCTCGAACTCCTGACCTTGTCATCTGCCTGCCTTGGCATCCCAAAGTGCTGGGGTTACAGGCATGAGCCACCATGCCCGGCCTGGAATCTTATTTAAAAATTAAAAAGACATGTTGTGTACCTGTTGCCTTAGGTGGGAGGGTCATTTGAGCCCAAGAGTTTAAGGCTGCAGCAGGTCATGACTGCACCAGTGTACTCCAGCCTGGGTGACAGAGCCAGACCCCATCTCATAAATAAATAGATAATAAATAACAGCAACCCCTCAACGCCAAAAAGCCAACCCCCCCACCTCCATGTCTCCATCACTCCTCTCCCAACTTCCATTTCTGGGGAAATCAAGGCACAAAGGAGGTTGCTCTGGGAAGTGCTAGCATGTATTTATTTCACAAGGTGGAAGATGATCACCCATAAGATGTCACCAAATGAGTCTCTGTGAATCCCACACAGGCAAGGGGGAAGCTACAGGATTCAGCTCTAGGTGGTGCTTGACCAGCAACAGCGTTGGGGCAAGAGATGGGGACTGGGAGATGGGGCAGCCTTCTGCGGGGGCCTCCACAGGGCAGAGCTGAGCCACATGCTTCTGGCCAGTGACATGGGCTAAACCCACACCCCATTCATTCTTCTCATCTCCCTCATTCCTGTCCAGGTGAGCAATGAAGCAGCAAGCCCAGAGCCACACAGCTAGGTCAGCATCGTCACACGCTCCGGAACACACAGCCAGACATGCACGCACACTCTCTGCCATGCACAGCACACAGGCACACACACACTCATGCATGCACACGTGTTCATATATTAACTCTGATTTATATGTGCACCCTAACCAGAGGGCAGTCGAAAAAAAATTATTACTCTTCAGAGAGGAAACGACTGCCTTCTCCTCTGCCAGCCAGCAGAGCATGGGGTGAAATGAGGTGAGCTGAAAGCATCTTCGAGCCCTTAGGTTCTGGATGAAGGGTTCCTTCTGCTCCCTGGGGACAGCCTCCGTGACTCAGGGCTCACAGGTCCTTGACCCAGCTCCAACCTGCAGGGCCCTCATGGCTTAGACCATGCTGCAGGCTTAGCCTGTATCTGTCTCCAGCTTCCTCTAGGCAGAGGCAGGAGAGCTGGCCCAAGCACGTTGTACGAGCCTAGTGCCCAGGTGACCAGGGGAGAAAGCATCAGCTCCACCCAGGTCATCTCAGGAGGGGCTAGAAGAGTCCAGAGCTGCAGTGCCCAAAGCCATCCTGGTGGGAAGAGTTGAGGGCAGTGACTGCCTTGGGGTGTGAACAGGCAGGTGTCATCTGGGCAGAAGCAACCTCAGAGGAAACTGAGTGCCCAGTCCTTGCTGCCTCCTTTGAGGGTGAGGAGCTAGGACATGGCTGAAGCCCCCGCTGCCTCCCACCGTGTTGATGGCTGGAGTTGAGCAGCTGCTGCTGCAGGAGAAAAGATGCAGGAGTGGACTCTACGGGTCCCAGGTCCTGATTCAGGGATAGCAGATGTGGTGGAGAACTGGACAGTCTCACTCCTCAGTACCAGGTCCACATCAGAGACTGTAGAAGACACCTCTCAGTCTCTCAGAGAAGGGCCGGGGGCTTTTCCAGGGTGCAGGAACCCTGTGGCAGCTGAATGCCTGAGGGGGACAGAGTATCCATCTAGGGTCCCCGTGCTGCCCTGGGGGAGCTCTGGGGAGCCTGCCGAGCACCTGCCAACCCCTTGCTGTCTCTCCGCCAGGATGGCTGGTCCAGATGTCGGCTGGTCCTGGGGGCCAGGCTCCAGTGCCCCAGCTTCCTCTCTCTACTTGATGGAGTTCTTAATGGTCCACCTCTGACCAGTGCAGCTGCGAAGGATGAGGTCGATGCCAGCCGGGCCCTGGTTCTCCACCTCCAGGCAGCACCCTGTGCCCTTGTTCATGATGGCTCCATTCTGGAAGGGGACAAAATCAAGAACAGAAGAGGAGAGAGAGAGGGAAAGAAAGAGGGAGAGATAGAGGAAAAAGACAGGAGAGAGAAAATGAGAAAGAGAAAAAGGAAAAGAAGAGAGAGAAAGAGACAAAGAAGATGGAGAGAGAAGAGAGAAAAAAGGAGGGGAGAGAGGACATAGAGGAGAGAGAGAGACAGAAAAAAGAAAGATAGAGGAGAGAGAAAGAAAAGGAAAGAGACAAAGAAGACAAAGGGAACAGGGATAGAAAAAGAGGGAAGAGAAGGAAAAGGAAAGAGAAAGTGGAGAGAAAGAAAAAAGCGAGAAGAGGGAAAGAGAAGATAGAGGGGGAAAAAAGAGGAGAGAGGGGAGAGAAAAGAGAGAAGAGAAAGAAAGGTGGAGAGAGGGAGGGAGAGGGAGAGGAAGAGAGAGAGAGAAACAGAGAAGGAGAGACAAAGAAAGAGAGGGAGAAAGGCTTAACCATCATGGTGCCTGGCACATAGCTTCTTGCAGAGAATCAACAGGGAATTATGAGACCTCCTCTGCACACTCTGAAGTCAGAACCTAAATAAGTTTCACTGGTTTGAGTGTCTGAATCAGGTGAGGAGCATTGGTGGGGATGGGGTCAGGTTGGGGAGTTTCCTGGGACATTCTCAGGCCCGCTGGCTGTGGGTACTTAGTGAATTTCAGGGAAGTCCCTCCTCACTACTCTCTCAGGATTGATCAGAGCTCAACTGAGCTGGGAATCAGAAATGATCAGAATTGATCACAGCCTAGCACTGAGGTAGGAATCAGAAATGCTACTCATGCAGAAACTCCACAGCTGCCCCCAGGAAGTGCCTTGGGAATACAAGCCCAGCCCGGGGCAGGGAGATCTGGGCTCAGGTTGCACTTTGCTGGGGACCCCTGGGGAAGTGGGATTCCCCTCTGTGGTCTGCAGCCTCTTGCCCCTACTCTGGGTGCTGGCCCTGTCCATACAGCACTCACCTGGATGAAGTTCCAGCACTTGTACAGGCTGCTCTTGACCTTGTTGCAGTCCAGGAGCTGGGGCAGCTGACTCTTAGAGTTGTCCACCAGGCAGTGGGTGTCAGGGAGGAGTGTGGTGGTCCAGAGGGTGCCCAGGTGCAGGAAGCCTTCTTTGGTGTAGTGGGCAAGCTGTTGAGAGAGCAAGCCACAGGGAAAGGGAGTGGGAGGCAGAAGGGAGACCTTAGGAAGAAGCCGGCTTCACCACTGCTGTCTGTCAATACTGCAGTCCTGGTCAGCATCCCAGTCCTGTTACTCATGCCATATGTTCAGTTCACAGAGAGTCCTGCTCCAGAAAGCCTCCTGGGCTTCCTGAGCCTGGATACAGAGTCCCCAGGGTGACTCTCTGGTGTTTTTCTAAGTATATCCAGTCCAAGTTTGAGGACCTAGTCTTCTGTTCAGCAACGTGGGTGAGAAAGAATAGATGAAGAAGCTGGATGTCTGATTTCTAAATGGCTCCACTCTCAGCTGGCTGAGCCACCTTGAACAAGTGACTTAACCTCTCTGAGTTTCCATTTCCTCCTCACTTTGAAAAGGGGATTGACTACATCTACCCTGCTGCAAAAGGCTCAAAGAGGCAATTCACTGAAGAAGAAACAGGCATTAAACAGTACTCAACCTCACAGGTACTCAAAGAAACAAAAATCTAAAATGATGAGATACCACATTTTAAAAAAGAAATTAGGTTGGGTGCTGTGGCTCACACCTGTAATCCCCGCACTTTGGGAGGCTGAGGCAGGTAGATCACTTGAAGCCAGGAGTTCAAGACCAGCCTGACCAACATGGCCAGACTCCATCTCTTCTAAAACTACAAAAATTAGCCAGGTGTGATGGTGCACACCTATAATCACAGCTACTCAGGAGGCTGAGGCAGGAGAATTGCTTGAATCTGGGAGGTGGAAGTTGCAGTGAACCGAGATCATGGCACTGCACTCCAACCTGTGCACCAGAGCCAGGCTCTGCCTCAATAAAACAAAGAAAACCAAAAAACCTGAAACTAAAGTAAGGGATTATTCACATTTTGGTGACAAGTCTAAGATGGGCCTTCTCACTGTTGAGTTGGAGGGAGGGTAGATTACTACAACCTTTCAAAAAGGAGATTTCTAAGTATATACTTTGTACTTTTAAAATGTTCATGGCCTTTGATCCAATTAATCTACTTTTATGCTCAAAGGACAGGAAGAGGACATACAAGTGGCAAAAAAACACATGAAAAAATGCTCATTACTAATCATCAGAGACGTGCAAATGAAAACCACAGTGAGATACCACCTCACACCAGGATGGCTTTTTTTTTTTTTTTTTGAGATGGAGTCTTGCTGTGTCACCCAGGCTAGACTGCAGTGGCTTGATTTCGGCTCACTGCAATTTTCACCTCCCAGGTTCAAGCGATTCTCCTGTCTCAGCCTCCTGAGTAGCTGGAATTACAGGTGCCTGCCACCATGCCCAGCTAATTTTTGTATTTTTAGTAGAGACAGAGTTCCACCATGTTGGCCAGGCTGATCTTGAACTCCTGACTTCGTGATCCACCCACCTAGGCCTCCCAAAGTGCTGGGATTACAGGCGTGAGCCACTGTGCCTGGCCTGGAATGGCTATTAAGACCTCAAAAAACAGCTGTTGGTGAGGCTGCAGAGAAGAGGGAATGTTTACACACTGTTGGTGGGAATGTCCATTGGTTCTTCCACTGTGGGGAGAAGTTTGGAGGCTTATCAAATAACTGGAAACAGAACTACAGATTTTAGTTAGAACGACCTGCAATCCCATTACTGGGTGTCTACCCAAAGGAAAAGACATAATTCTACCAAAGAGATGCATGCACTTGCATGTACATTGCAACACTATTCACAATAGCAAAGATGCAATCAGCCTAGGTGCCCATACAAGGCAAATTGGATGAAGGAAATGTACAGATACAGCATGGAATACAATACAGCCATGAAGAACAACAACATCAGGTATTTTGCAGCAGCATGGATGTAGCTGGAGGCCATTATCCTAAAAGAATTAATGCAGAGTCAGAAAAACAAATATTGTGTGTTCTCACTTGTGAGTGGAAACTAAACATTGAGTATTCATGGACATCAAGATGGACGTTACAAACACTGGAAATGCCAGAAGGAGGGAGGGAGAAAGGAAGGCAAGAAAACCTACCTACTGGGTATTATGCTCACTACCTGGGTGACAGTTTCAAGCATACCCCAAACCAAACATGTCCATGTACCCCTGAATCAAATAAAAATAGAAATTAAAAATAATTAATTGTTAGAACTCTACGATATAAGATCAGCTGCCCAGCAGCCTGCATATAGCATGGGTTAGCAGCAGTGGCAACCCTAGACACTGGCCTCAGTAACCTGGAACCCAGGACTGGACACTGCCATGGTCAGCCTGCAGGTGAGGGAGGGAAGGAGACACTCAGTCACATCTCTGCGGCTGCACAGTGCCCAGTGCCCGCAAACCTGTGCTCTAGGCCAGGGCCAAGGAAAAGCAGACCCTAAGGTGAGAAGGCAGTACACTTGTCGACCCTCAGGCCCTCGGGGAGCAGTCCTGCCAGCATCTACCATGGGCTCAGCCACAGTTGCTACCTGGAAATGGCGCGAGTCAGTATCAGTGGCAATTCCTGGCCCCGTCCTCCCCCACCAGCAGCAGGAAACCCAGGACCAGGTGTCACCATGGCACTTGATTTAGGTGGTCCGCCCTGCAGCTGCAAGGCGGCAGAAACCGGCGCTCAGCCTCATCCCGGTGGCCACAGTGGGCCCGGAGCCCGAGACACATGCTCTGTGCTTGGGCCAAGGAAGCAGGGACCTTACGGTGGGGGAAGGTGCATTGGACTACCCTCAGGCTGTTTGAGACCAGCCCTGTGGCCTCCACCTTTCATTCTGCTGCACCTGTCACCTGTAGATGGTGTGTGGCAGCAGCAGTGGCAACCCCTGATCCTGCCCGCCTCCACAAACAAGGTGGACCCAAGGGCCAGACCCCGCTGCGACGCCTAAATCAGGCCCCGTAGCAGGAGGGCAGGAACTGATGCTCAGCCCCATCTCAGTGGCTGCAGGGTACCCAGCGCCCGTGACCAGCGCCCTGGATGCGAGTCAAAGAGGAGAGGACCCTAGGAAGGGAGAGTGGTGCACTCCGCAACCACTCTGGAACCAGCCCTGCCAACCTGTGCTGGGGGCTCAACCTGCAAATGGTGCAGGGCCAGAGCGGTGGCAACCCGGAGCCTGCCTGAGGCACCAGGAGTGAGGCTCCCAGGACCAGATGCAACCGGGCACCTTATTCAGGAGGTCAGCTCCACAGCTGCAGTATGTCGAGAGCCGGCGCTCAGCCCCATCCCTGAGACTGCACAGCGCCCAGCGCCCAGCGCTCGGACCCCGCGCTCTGGGCGGGGCCAAGGAAATGGACCCTAGGCGGCGCATTGGGCGACTCCTAGGCCGTCTGGGGCCAGCCTCTGCCGTGGGTTCAGCTGCAGCTGCCGCCTGCACAGGGCACTCAGCAGCAGAGGTGGCGACCTCTGAGCCCCCAGTGCCGCGGACACCAGGGCCCGGAGCCCCCTGGCAGCTCATTCGGGCCGTCCACTGTGCAGCTGCAAGAGAGCGCACGCCGTTCCTCACTGTGGGGGCTAGGCCAGCGACCTGACACTAACCACACAGACTATAGGGCCAGAGCCTCATTGCTGAAGCCCGGCCATCGTGAAACCACTCCGGTGGCCGCAGAGTGCCCGTACCCGCACCTGATCACCTTTCCGAGGAGAAGTGGGCCGGGCCGCACGGCCAGACAGGCCCTCCTCCTCAGGCCGGGCGGGAAGCATGCCTGCGACCCTGCACCTGCGATCCTGGGGCCGCCCGGGCGAGCCAAGGAGAACCCACGAGCCCAGCGGCGCCCGGAGCTGCAGCCGCACCTGCCGTCCGGGGCCACCTGCCTGGGAGCGGCTTCCGGGAGCCCAGGGGCCAAGGCTGTGCAGGCGCTCGCCCATCGGCTTTGCGAGGCTCACTCGGTCTGCGAGTGTCGCTGCTGAAAGGCTGTGGTGGACCGAGCTGGATCGCGGATTCTGAGCTAGATCTCAGATTTGGGATTGCGGATTGGGAGTTGGATCGGGGATTTGGGCTGGGTCTGCGGTGTGGGGGCGGTGACGAGGTGACAGGGAGCTGCCCCCGCTCAGGAGCCAGTGGTTGGGGGTCTGAGAAGTCACCACCCTGAAGAAGTTGGCTTCTGGTGCCAGGAAGACCAGGTGGAGGAACTGGACGGCATCCACAGGAGGCTGCCAAGGGCAACGTCACTGAGGTGGAGCGCTTCCTGGCACTCAGCAGCGAAAACCTGAACGCCCCAGACTCTCAGCAAAGGAAGCTGGGGCTCAACCCGGGGTGGGAGGGAGTCCCCAGGCCCACCTTCCCCTCAGGCCCTGGGACGGGCCTTGGAGGGCGTCAGGCACCCCCCCCCCCCCAGCAGCGAAGCCAAACAGAACCTCAGCTGCTTTCCATCCCTCATAATTCCTGGCGGGAGTAGTTGGTGGAGAATTTGAGTGATTTAATTTACAGAGTTAAGTGTATAAGGAGTGTGTGTTGGAGACCCCACAAGTGCTGAGGCAGAAGCCAGAAGCCTCCGCCTCTTCCCATATAATTAATGAAGAAGAAAATAACTAGAGATATATCTATAGTAGTTATTCATAGGTGATCTTAGTTATTCATAGGAAACCGTTAAGATATATATATATATATATATATATATATATATATATACACACTAAGGACACAGGGTGGGAGGGCTAGGGAAGGGAACATGGAGCTCTTACCTGACTTGAATGTGCACCAGAGGGTGCTTTGTGTAATATATTGTACACTACAGCATCTTATAGTTTTTGAGTTGAGTTTCAATAAATTACATTTTTTCACCTCCCCAAAAAACACAAACAAAAAACATATACATTATAGTAGGGGCCTAATGAGAGAACCCATTCCCTTATCAGAAACACCATGACTCATTTGCAGTAGGCGAAAAGTTCTCAGATAAAACTATCAGTTTTACATCCGTACCCACCTGTGGAGATACGTTTTCTACGAAGGTCCTTAGAGGGAAACTTGGAAATGGAACGTGGGTTCTGTGTTCTTGAGTGGGAAGACACTTTTTTCCCAAACTGTGAGCTCTCACGGTGTTGACCAATTTTACATAAACCGAATGAAAATATCAAGGTTTCAACATTTTTGCATGACACCTGCTGTCTTTTACTATTGTGATGATGACATTTTTAAAAAATTGTATAATGGAGTAAAAAAAAGTACCTCCTCTAGATATCAAAATGTGCTATGAATTTTCACAATTGTTTACTAACAGCTGAAAATACATATAAATGCATGAAACAGAATAGGAAATCTAGAAATACTAAAATATGTAAGATACATGTAAGAATTGATAATGTTAACAGTTATGAGTAGGAAAGAATGAATTATTAATGAAAAAAATGCCTGCTGTTGGAAGAAAACTAATGAAATTTTATGTCACAAACATGAGTTTCTGATGGAATACAGATTGAAATTTCTACATATGCAAATGAGAAAAGTACCAGAAGAAAACACAAATGCTTATTTTAAGGCACATTTTACGTTGTCAAAGGCCTTCCTAAGAATGACCTCATAAACAGGCATTCTGAAGGTTAATTTAGCAAACTAAAAATGTCGTCCAGTTCCTGCTCCTGGTCCTCCAGGCGCCTGCGGCTCCAGAAGCCAAACAACATCTTCAGGGTGGTGACTTCTCAGACCCCCAACCACTGGCTCCTGAGCCGGGGCAGCTCCCTGTCACCTTGTCACCGCCCCCACACCGTAGACCCAGCCCCAAATCCCAGATCCAACTCCCAATCCGCAATCCCAAATCTGAGATCTAGCTCAGAATCCGTGATCCAGCTCGGTCCACCACAGCCTTTCAGCAGCGACACTCGCAGCCTCCGACCTCTCAGACCAAGTGAGCCTCGCAAAGCCGTTGGGCGCGCGCCTGCACAGCGGTGGCCCTTGGGCTCCCGGAAGCCGCTCCCAGGCAGGCGGCGCGGGACGGCAGGTGTGGCTGCAGGTCCGGGCGCCGCTGGGCTCGTGGGTTTTCCTGGGCTCGCCCGGGCGGCCCCAGGATAGCAGGTGCAGGATCGCAGGCGTGCCTCCCGCCTGGCCTGAGGAGGAGGGCCTGTGTGGCCGTGCGGCCCGGCCCACTTCTCCTCAGAAAGGTGATCAGGTGCGGGCACGGGCACTCCGTGGCTGTTGCAGTGGCTTCGCGATGTGGCGGGCGCTGGACGCTCAACAGGGTCTGGCATTCGGCTGAGGCTGGCTCCCAGTCTCCTGCAGCTGCGCAGCAGACGGCCTGGATGAGCCGCCAGGGGGCGCTGGGCTCCGGTGTCCGGCCTTGGGGGCTCAGGCAGGCTCAGAGGTCGCCACCTCTGCCTCCGAGTGCCCCGTGCAGGCGGCAGCTGCAGCTGAGCCCATGGTGGAGGCCGGTAAGGCGGGTCTCAGATGGCCGGAGGCTCCGCCAGTGCACCGCCCTCCCACCCTAGGAGCTACTCTGGTTTGGACTGAGCCCAGAGCACGGGGATGCGGGCGCCAGGCACCCTAGAGCCAGGGGGTGGGCGAGCGCTAGTCCCTGCCCTCCTGCAGCTGCGGAGAGACCTCCCGAGGGACACTCTGAGGCGGCCTCGGGCCCTGGGTCCCCCGATGCTGATTATGGCAGGCAGAATTGGGGTTGCCACCGCTTTTGTCGCGCCATGTGCAGGTGGCAGCTGCACTGGAGCCCGCGGCAGATGGTGACAGACAGTACAGGACCGAGACCTGAGTGAGCCCTGAAGGTCGCAGAATACCCGCCTCCACCCTCGGATGCTCCTCTTTGGCGGCTCCCTGAGTGCTGGACCGCGGGTCTGGGCACTGTGCAGCTAATGGAATGGGGCTGAGCGCCACTTCCAGCTCTCCTGCAGCTGCGTCTTCACCGCGCCGTTAGGCCCACGGTGGAGTCTGGCCCCTGGTTCTGTGCTGCTGGCCGCCGCGTGCATGTCCAGGGTTGCCACCACTGCTGACGTGCACCATCTGCAAGGGGCGGCTGCAGCTGAGTCCAGGTGTCAGCTGGCAGGGCTGGTCCCAGAAGACCCGAGGGTCATCCAGTGGACCGCCCTCTCACCGTAGGGCCCCTCTTACCTGGCCGATGCACAGAGCGACGGGGTGCGGTCGCTGGGTGCTGAGCAGCCGCTGGATCCTCGAGGTCAATTGGTCGGTTTCTGCTTTCCTGTAGCAGCTCGGCCGACTGTCTGTGTGAGGAGCCGCAGAGGCTTCTGGCCCTGGGATCCTCACTGCGGTGGAGCCTGCAGGCAATGTCGGGGGTTGTCACTGTGGCTGCCGCGTCGCCGCGTGCAGGTGGCAGCTGTAGCTGAGCCCAGAGCAGAGGCTGGCCGCAGACGGCCTGAGGGTCGCCCAGTACACCGCCTAGGGTCCATCTTCCTTGGCCCTGCCCAGAGCGCGGGGTCGGGGTGTTGGGAGCTGTGGTGGTGTGCACTTGTGACCCCAGGTAGTGTAGGGGCTGAGGCGGGACAATTGCTTAAGCCCAGGAGTTTGAAGCTGCAGCAAGCCGTGATCACATCACATCACTCCAGCCTGGGTGACACAGGGAGACCCAACCAAAAAATAAAAAAGAGGAGAAAAGGGCTGGGCACAGTGCCCACGCCTGTAATCCAGCACTGTGGGAGGCCAAGGTTAGCAGATCACTTGAGTTCAGGAGTTTGAGATCAGACTGGGCAATGTGGCAAAACCCCATCACTATTAAAAACACACACACACAAAAATAGCCAGATGTGGAGGTATGTACCTGTGGTTTAGCTGTTCAGGAGGCTGAGGTAAGACGATCACTTGAGACCAGAAGTTTGAGGCTGCTGCTCAACATCATGGGCTACAGAGCAAGACCTATTCTACAAGGAATCAAAAAAATAATGATAAGAAGAAAAAAGGGTTGGGCACAGCGGGTCACACCTATAACCCAGCATTTTGGGATGCTGAGGTGCACAGATCACTTATTTCAGGAGTTCAAGACCAGACTGAGCAAGATGGCAAAACCCCATTTTACCAAAAACAGAAAAAATTAGCAAGGTGTGGTGATGTGCACCTGTGGTCCAAAGTATTCAGGAGGCTGAGGTGGGAGGATCCCTTGAGCCTTGAAGGGTTAGGCTGCAGCGAGCTGTGGTCATATTGCTGCACTCCAGCCTGGGTAACAGAGCGAGACCTGATCTCAGAAAGAAAAATGAGAGAGAGAGAGAGAGAGAGAGAGAGAGAGAGAGAGAGAGAGAGAGAGAGAGAGAGAGAGAGAGGGAAAAGAGAAAGAAAGAGAGAGAGAAAGAAGAAAGAAAAGAAAGAAAGAAAGAGAAAGAAAGAAAGAAAAGAAAAAAAAAATGGGCTGGCACAGTGGCTCATGCTTGTAACCCAGGACACTTTGGGAGGCTGAGTTGGGCAGATCATTTTAGTTCACAAATTTGAGACCACACTGGGAAACATGGCAAAATCCAATGTCTACCAAAAATACAAAAAAAAATTAGCCAGGCGTGGTGGTGTACACCTGTGGTCTCAGCTGTTCAAGAGGCTGAGGTGGGAGGATCACTTGAGCCTCGGAGGTTGCGCCTCAGCATTCCAGCATGGGTAACAGAGTAGGACCTAATGTTAAACAAAACAAAACAAAATAAAAGAAACAAAAACAAAAATGAACTGGGCACAGTGGCTCACACTTGTAACCCAGCATTTATGTATTTTTGGTAAAAATGAGGGTTTTCCTTTCTTTCTTTCTCTTTCTTTCTTTTTTCTTTCTGTCCTTTCCTTTCTTTCCCTCTTTTTCTCTGTTTCTCTCTCTTTGTTTCTCTCTTTCTCTCTCTTATTTTTTTTAGATTAGGTCTCCTTCTGTTACTCACTGGAATGCAGTGGGCGGAATCACAGCATGCTGCAACTTCAAACTCCTGAACTTAAGTGATCCTCCCACCTGATCCTCTTGAACAGCTGGGACCCCACATGCACAATAACATGCCTGGGTCATATTTTGTATTTTTGGGAGTGATGGAGTTTTGCCATATTGCCCAGTATGGCCTCGAACTCCTGAATTCAAGTGGTCTGCCCGCCTCTGCCTTTCAAAATGCTATGTCACAGGTGTGAGCCATTGTGCCAGCCCTTTTTTTTCTGTTTTCTTTTGTTTGTTTGTTTTGTTTTGACAGTAGTTCTCACTCTGTTACCCAGGCTGGACTGCAGTGGCGTGGCCACAGCTCTCGATACCTGCAACCTCCTGGGCCCAAGCCATCCTCCCACCACATCATCTTGAACAGCTGAAACACAGCTGCATGTTTTTTCCATTTTTGGTACGGATGAGGTTTTGCCATGTGGCCAAACTAGTCTCGAATTTCCAAATTCAAGAATTCAAGTGATCTGCCCACTTTGGCCATCCATCCTGCTGTGTTACAGGCAGGAGCCACTGTGCCCAGCTTTTTTTTCTTTTTCTTCCTGTTTTTTTTTTTTTTTTAAGAGTATGTCTTGCTCTCCTACCCAGGCTGGAGTGCAGTAGTGTGATCGTGACTTGCTGCAGCCTCAACTTCCTGGGTTCAAGTGATCCTCCCACATCAGCCCCTTGAAGAGCTGGGACCACAGGTGCACACCACCACGCCTGGCTAATTTTTTGTATTTTTGGTAGATATTGGATTTTTCCATGTTACCCAGTCTGGTCTCAAACTCCTGAAATCTAGTGATCTGCCCACTTGTGCCTCCCAAAGTGCTGGGTTACAGGCATGAGCCACTGTGCCTGGCCCTTTTTTTTTTTCTGTTTTGTTTGTTTGTTTTATTTGACATTAGGTCTCCCTCTGTTGCCCTGGCTGGAGGGCAGTGGCACAATCACGGCTTCTGCAGCCTAAGCCTCTTGGGTTCAAGTGATCTTCCCATATCAGCTCCCTGAACAGCTTGGATCACAGGCGCACACCACCACGCCTGGCTAACTTTTTTCTTTCTGTAGAGACGGAGTTTTGCCATGTTGCCCAATCTGGTCTTACACTACTGAACTCAGGTGATCTGCCCACCTCAGCCTCCCAATGTGTTGGGTTATAGGTGTGAGCCACTGTGCCCAGTTTTTCTTTTTCTTTTCTTTTTTTTTTAGATTAGGTCTTGCTTGCTCTATTACCCAAGCTGGAGTGTGTGCTGCACTCAACCTCCTGGACTCAAGCAATCCTCTCACCTCAGCCTCTTGAATCACTGAAACTACCGATGCACAACCCCACACCTGGGTAACCACAAACCACAGGTGCACGCTCACCACACTGGGTAACCATCAAAAGGAAAAAGAAGAAAAAAGAGCTGGGTACAGTTTGGCACTTTGGGAGGCTGAGGAGGGCAGATTGCCTGTGTTCAGGCAGTTCGAGATTAGACTGGGCAACACAGCAAAACCCCACCTCTATCAAAAGTACAAAAAATAAGCCAGGTGTGCTGGTGTGCACCTGTGGTCCCAGCTATTCAAGAGGCTGAGGTGGGAGGATCACTTGAGCCCAGGAGGTTGAGACTGCAGAAAGTGGTGATCACACCACTGCACAACAGCCTGAGTTGCAGAGACCTAATCTCAAAACAAAAAAAAAAAAGAAAAAGAAGAAGCAAAAAAAAATTGCTGGGCACAGTGGCTCAGGCCTGTAACCCAGCACTTTAAGAAGCTGAGGCAAGCAGATCATGTGAGTTCAACAGTTTCAGACAAGACTGGGAAACATGGCCAAACTCCAACACTACCAATAATACAAAACATTTGCCTGCATAACAGAGTAAAACCAAATTTTTCCAAAGTACAAAAGAAAAAAAAAAGGTGGGCACAGTGGCTCACGCCTGTAACCCAGCCCTTTGAAAGGCTGGCTGAAGTGGGCAGATCACTTGAGTTCAGGAGCTTGAGACAAGACTGAGGGACACAGTAAACTCTATCTCCACCAAAAATACAAAAAATAGCCAGGCGTGGTGGTGTACACCTGTGGTCCCAGCTATTCAAGAGGCTGAGGTGGGAGGATCACTTGAGCCCAGGAGGTTGAGTCTGCAGCAAGCGGTCATCACACCACTGCACTCCAGCCTGCATAACAGAGCAAGAACCAATATCAAAAATAAAAATAAAAAAGGGCTGGGCACAGTGGCTCATGCCTGTAACCCACAAATTTGTGAGGCTGAGGTGGGCAGATCACTTAAGTTCTGCAGTTGGAGACAACACTGGGCAACATGGCCAAACCTCATCTCTACCAAAAATACACAAAAATAGCCAGGCATGGTGGTGTGCACCTGTGATTTAAGCTACTGAAGAGACTGAGGTGGGAGGATTGTTTGAGCTCAGGATGTTGAGGTTGCAGCAAGCTGTGACCACGCCACTGCACTCCAGCTTAAGTAAGAGCAAGATAGCTCTCTCTCTCTGCACACACACACACACACACACACACACACGCGGATATATGAAAGAAGATAAACTGCCGAGCACAGTTATTCAGGACTATTACCCAGCAATTTGGGATGCTAAGGTGAGCAGACAGACGACTTGAGTTCAGGAGTTCGAGACCTAACTGGGCGCTACGGCAAAACACCATCTCTACCAAAAATACAAAAAATTAGCCACATGTGGTGATGTACACTTGTGGTTCAAGGTATTCAAGAAGCTGAGGTGGGATGATCACTTGAGCCCAGGAGGTTGAGGCTACAGCAAGTTGTGATCACATTGGTCACTCCAGCCTATATAAAGAGTGAAAGCTAATCTTAAAAAAAAAGGGGGGGGTCCAAAGTAGCTCCTGCCGGAGGTCATGGCGCTCGCGAAGGTGAGGTCATCAGTTCAAGGCTATCCTGAGCAACCTCATAAGCTCAAACTGATTGGCAAAAAAAAAAAAAAAGAAAGAAGAAAGAAGAAAAAAGGGCTGTGCACAGAGGCTCGTGCCTGTAACCCAGCACTTTGGGAGGTTGAAGTGGGCAGATGACTTGACTTCAGGAGTTTGAGACAAGACTGGGCAACGTGACAAAAACCCATCCCTACCAAAAATAGAAAAACTTAGCCTAGCATGGTGGTGTGTACCTGGGGTCTCAGCTATTCCAGCGGCTGAGATGGGAGAATCACTTGAGCCCAGGAGGTTGAGGCTGCAACAAGTCCTTATCCTGCCACTGCACTCCAGCCTGGGTAAAAGAATGAGATCGAATTTAAAAAGAAGAAGGAGAAGGAGAGGGGCTGGGCACAGTGGCTCACACCCATACATAGCACTTGGGAGACAAAGGTGGGTGTATCACTTAAGTTCAGAAGTTTGAGACCAGACTGTGCACAGACTCAAACTTCTTAATCAACAGAGCAAGACCTAATCACAAAACCACCATCTATTAAAACCCCATCTCTATTACAGATACAAAACACCATGTCTATTAAAAATGCAAAAACTTAGCCAGGCATGGTGGTGGGCACCTGTGGTCTCAGCTATTCAACAGGCTGCAGTGGGAGGATCACTTGAGCCCAGGAGGTTGAGACTACAGCCAGCCATGACCACGCCACTGCAGCCTGGGCAACAGAGCGACACGACACCTAATCTCACAAGAAAAAAAGAAAAAAGAATAAAGTGCTGGGCACAGTGTCTCACACCTGTAGTCCAGCATTTTGGGAGACTGAGGTAGGCAGATCAACTGAGTTCAGAAGTTTGACACCAGACTGGGCAACATGGGAAAACCCCATCTCTACCATAAATACAAAAAACTAGCCAGGCGTGGTGGCATGCACCTGTGGTCTCAGCTATTCAAAAAGTTGATGTGGAAGGATCACTTGAGCTAAGGCAGTTGAGGCTGCAGCAAGCCATGATCATGCCACTGCACAACAGCCTGGGTTACAGAACAAGACCTAATTTCAAAATAATTTTAAAAAGAAATAAAGGAAAAGAAAAAGGCTGTGCATAGTGACTCATGTCTCTAACCGAGCACTTTGGGAGGCTGAGGTGGACAGATCACTTGAGTTCAGGAGTTCAAGACGAAATTGGGCTACATGGCAAAACCTCATCTCTACCAAAAATCCAAAAAATTAACCAGGCATGGTGGTATGCACCTGTGGTCCCAGCTATTCTAGAGGCTGATATGTAAGGATCACTTGAGCCCCGGAGGTTGAGCTTTTAGCAAGCCGTGATTACACCACTGCACTCCAGCCTGTGTAAAAGAGTGAGACCTTATCAGAAAGAAAGAAGGAAAAAAGAAAGAAAGAGAGAGAGAGAGAGAGAGAGAGACAGAGAGAAAGAAAGAAGGAAGGAAGGAAAGAAAGAGGAAGAAGATGGAGGAGGAGGAGAAAGAAGGCAAGAAGTCAAGGAAAGGAAAGGAAGGAGATAGAAATGACTGGACGACTGGACACAGTGGCTCATGCCTGTAACTCAGCACTTTGGGAAGCCAAGATAAGGAGATTATTTGAGTTCAGGAGTTCAGGACCAGTCTGTGTAACAACGCAAAACCCCATCTCTACAAAAAATTAGCCAGGTGAGGTGGAGTGCATCTGTTGTCAGAGATATTCAAGAGGCTGAGGTGGGAGGATCTGTTGATTCCTGGAGGTCGAGGCTGCAGCAAGCTATAATCACGCCACTGCACTCCAGCCTGGGTAACGAGTGAGACCTCATACCCCCATCAAGAAAAAAAAGAAAAACAGGCTTGGCACATTGGCTCACGCCTGTAACCCAGAACTTTGGGAGGCTGAGGAGGGCAGATCACTTGAATACAGGAGATGGAGACTAGATTAGGCATCATAGCAAAATCTCATTTCTACCAAAAATCCAAAAAAACTAACCAGGCATGGTGGTGTTCACCTGTGGTACCAGCTATTCAAGAGGCTATAGTGTGAAGATCATTGAGGAGGCTGAGGCTGCAACTAGCTGTGATGAAGTCACTGCATTCCAGCTTGGGTAACAAAGTGAGAACAAAAAAAAATGAATGGAAAAGGCTGGGCACATCGGCTCGTGCCTGTAAAACGGCATTTTAAAAGGCCTAAGTAGGCTGATCACTTGAGTTCAAAACTTTGAGACCAGCGTGGGAAACATGTCAAAACTTCATCTCTACCCAAAATACAAACAATTAGCCAGGCATGTTGGTGTGCACCTGTGGTCCCAGCTATTTAAGAGTCTGAGGTGGGAGGATCACTTGAGCACAAAAGGTTGAGACTGTAGCAAGCCATGACCATGCCACTGCACTCCAGCCTGGGTAACAGAGCAAGACCTAATCTCAAAATAAAAACAGAAAAAAAAAAAGAAAACAATAGGGCTGGGCACAACAGCTCATGCCTGTAGCACAGCAATTTGGAATGTCAAGGTGGGCAGGTCACTGAGTTCAGCAGTTGGAGACCAGACTGGGCAACATGCAAACTCCATCTGTACCAAAAATACCAACAATTAGCCAGACGTATGGTGTGCACCTCTAGTCCCAGGTATTCACGAGGCTGAGGTGGGAGTATTGCCTATGCCCTGGAGGTTGAGGTTGCAGCAAATCGTGATTGCACACTGCACTCCAGCCTCGGTAAAATAGCAAGACCGAATGTCAATAAGAACAGAAAAAAAAAAAGAAGGAAACAATAGGGCTGGGCACAGCGGCTCACAACTCTAACCCAGCAATTTGGAAAGCTGAGATGGGGAGAGCACTTGAGTTCAGGAGTTTGAGACCAAATTGGGCAACATGGCAAAACCACATTTGTGCCAAAAGTACAAAAAATTAGCCGGGCATGGTGGTGCACACCTATGGTCTCAGCAATTCAAGAGGATGAGGTGAAAGGACTGCTTGAGCCCACGAGATTGAAACTGCAGCAAGCTGTGATCACATTACTGCCCTGCAGCCTGGGTAGCAGAGCGAGTCCTAATCTGAAAAGAAACAAAAAAATAAAAATGAAAAAATAGGGGTGGGCACAGTGGCTCATGACTGCAATCCAGCACTTTGGGATGACAAGGTGGGCAGATCACTTGAGTTAAAGAATTGGTGACCTGACTGGGAAACATGGAAAAACCCCATCTCTACCAAAAATACAAAAAATTAGCCAGACGTAGTGGTGTGCACCTGTGGTCCCAGCTATTCAAGAGGCTGAGGTGGGAGGGTTGCTCGGGCCCATCAGGTTGAGGCTGCAGCAAGCCATGATCGGACCACTGCACTTTAGCTGGGATGACAAAGCAAAACCTAATTTCAACACACACATGTGCACACACACACACACAATAAATAAATAAAAGAGGAAGAAAAAGGGCTGGACAGAGTGGCTCATGCCTGTAAACCAGCAATTTGGGAGGCAGAGGTGGGCAGATCACTTGGTTTCAGCATTTCCGCACCAGACTGGGCAACATGGCCAAACCCCATTTCTAACAATAATACAAAAATTTAGCCTGGCGTGATGGTGTGCACCTGTAGTCCCAGCTGTTCAAGAGGCTGAAGTAAGAGGATTGTATAAGTGAAGGAGGTTGAGGCTGCAGCAAGCTGTAATCATGCAACTGTACTCCAGCTAAGTAACAGAGCGAAACCTAATCCCAAAAAAAGGAGGGGCACAGTGGTTCATGCCTGTAACCCAGCACTTTGGGAGGCTGACACGGGCATATCACTTGAGGTCAGGAGTTCAAGACCAGACTGGGCAACATGACAAAACTCCATCCCTACCAAAAATACCAACAATTACCAGGTGTGCTGGTGTGCACCTGTGGTCCCAGCTACTCAAAAAAAAGAAATAGGTGGAAGTGTCCCCTCGCAGGAGGTTGGGGCTGCAGCAATCTGATCAAACCAGTCCACTCCAGCCTGGGTTACAGAGTGAGACCAAACATCCAGAGAAAAACATAAGACAAAAAAGGGCTTGTCACTTGGCTCACCACTGTAACCCAGCTCTTTGGAAGGCCAAGGTGGGCAAATAACTTGAGTTCAGGAATTCAAAACCAGACTGGGCAACATGATGAAATCTCATCTCTGACAACAATGCCAAAAAATAGCCAGGCTTGCTGGTGTGCACCTATGGTCCCAGCTATTCAAGTGGCTGAGGTGAGAGGATCGCTTCAGCCCAGTACTTTGAGACTGCAGCAAGCCGTGATCATGCTACTGCTCCTCAGCATGAGTAATGGAGGAAAACCTAATCTAAAAACAAATAAGCATATAAAATTAAAAGATAAAGCAGAAATAGGGGCTGGGCACAGTGGCTCACACCCGTTACCCAGCACTTTGGAAAGCAAAGGTGGGCAGATCACTTGAGTTCAGGAGTTTGAGACCAGATTGCGTCCACAGTGCGGGATGCCGGGCGCTGGGCGCTGAACAGCCACGCCGTGGGGCTGAGGCTGGCTCCCGCTCTCCTGCAGCTGCGCAGCGGACGGCCTGGATGAGCCGCCAGGGGGCGTGGGCTCTGGTGTCCCCGGCCTTGGGGCTCAGACAGGCTCAGAGGTCGCCACCTCTGCCAACGCCCAGTGCCCCGTGCAGGGGGCAGCTGCAGTTGAGCCCACGGTGGAGGCCGGTAGGGCGGGTCTCAGATGGCGGGAGGCTCCGCCAGTGCACCGCCCTCCCATCCTAGGAGCTACTGTGGTTTGGCCCGAGCCCAGAGCGTCGGGATGCGGGCGCCCGGCACCCTGCAGCCAGAGGATGGGCGAGCGCTAGTCCCTGCCCTCCTGCAGCTGCGGAGAGACCTCCCGAGGACCACTCTGAGGCGGCCTTGGGCCCTGGGTCCCCCGATGCTGGTTACGGCAGGCAGAATTGGGGTTGCCACCACGGCAGATGGTACCAGTACAGGACCCAGACCTGAGTGAGCCCTGAAGGTCGCCGAATACCCCCTCCCACCCTCGGATCCGCTCATCTTTGGCGGCTCCCTGTGTGCGGGACCGCGGGTCTGGGCACTGTGCGGCCATTGGAATGAGGCTGAGCGCCACTTCCCACCCTCCTGCAGCTGCGTCTTCACCGCGTCCTTTAGGCCCACGGTGGAGTCTGGCCCCTGGTTCTTTGCTGCTGGCCGCCGCGTGCATGTTCCAGGGTTGCCACCGCTGCTGACGTGCACCATCTGCAAGGGGCGGCTGCAGCTGAGTCCAGGTGTCAGCTGGCAGGGCTGGTCCCAGAAGACCCGAGGGTCGTCCAGCGGGCCGCCCTCCTACCCTAGGGCCCCTCTTCTTTGGCCGATGCACAGAGTGATGGGGTGCGGTCGCTGGGTGCTGAGCAGCCGCTGGATCCTCGAGGCCGACTGGTCGGTTCCTGCTTTCCTGCAGCAGCTCTGCCGACTGCCTGTGTGAGGAGCCACAGAGGCTTCTGGCCCTGGGATCCTCACTGAGGTGGAGCCGGCAGGCAGCGTCGGGGGTTGTCACTACTGCTGCCGTGTCACCGCATGCAGGTGGCAGCTGTAGCTGAGCCCACGGCAGAGGCTGGCCCCAGACAGCCTGAGAGTCGCCCAGTACACAGCCTAGGGTCCATCTTCCTTGGCCCTGCACAGAGAGTGGGGTCGGGGTGCTGGGAGCTGGGCGGCCTCTGGGATGGGGCTGAGCGCCTTTTCCCGCCCTCCATCTGGTCCTTTTTGTCCCCGGTCCAGTGAGGGTTGCAGAGAAGTAGCCACGTGTGGTGGTGTGCACCTGTGGCGCCAGGTAGTCAAGAGGCTGAGGTGGGAGAATTGCTTAAGCCCAGGAGTATGAAGCTGCAGCAAGCCGTGATCACATCACATCACTTCACTCCAGCCTGGGTGACACAGGGAGACCCAACCAAAAAATAAAAATAAAAAAGAGGAGAAAAGGGCTGGGCACAGTGCCCATGCCTGTAATCCAGCACTGTGGGAGGCCAAGGTTGGCAGATCACTTGAGTTCAGGAGTTTGAGATCAGACTGGGCAATGTGGCAAAACCCCATCTCCATCAAAAATACAAAAAAATAGCCAGATGTGGAGGTATGTACCTGTGGTTCAGCTGTTCAGGAGGCTGAGGTAAGACGATCACTTGAGCCCAGGGGTTTGAGGCTGCAGCAAGCGGTGATTACGCTGCTGCTCAACATCCTGGGTTACAGAGCAAGACCTATTCTATAATCAAAACAATAAGAAGAAGAAAAAAGGGCTGGGCACAGCGGGTCACACCTATAACCCAGCATTTTGGGATGCTGAGGTGCACAGATCACTTGATTTCAGGAGTTCAAGACCAGACTGAGCAAGATGGCAAAACCCTATTTTACCAAAAACAGAAAAAATTAGCAAGGTGTGGTGATGTACACCTGTGGTCCAAGGTATTCAGGAGGCTGAGGTGGGAGGATCCCTTGAGCCCTGAAGGGTTAGGCTGCAGCGAGCTGTGATCATATTGCTGCACTCCAGCCTGGGTAACAGAGCGAGACCTGATCTCAGAAAGAAAAATAGAGAGAGAGAGAGAGAGAGAGAGGATAAAACTGCTTGGCACAGTGGCTCACACCTATGACCTAGCATTTTTTGTGGCCTGGGTGGGTAGATGACTTGAGTTCAGGAGTTCAAAACCAGAATGAGAAACATGGTCAAGCCCCATCTTTATCAAAAATACAAAAACAGCCAGGCATAGTGGTATCCAACTTGGTCCCAGCTATTCAAGAGGCTCTGTGGGAGGGTCGAGTGAGCCCAGGAAGTTAACACTGCATCAAGCCGTGACCACACCACTCTACTCCAGCCTTGGTGACAGAGACCTGATCTCAGGGAAAAAAAAAAAAAAAAAAAAAAAAAAAAAAAAAAACAAGGGGGAGGGGACTCA